ACTTGAATACTATTTATTTGCTTTATTGCACTCACTGATAATTCAGATACAAAACCATTCAAAATATCAAGGTCAGTAAGATCTTTTAATATTTTCTGAAAAAAGTCTCTTCTGCACACTAAGGCTGCATTTATTTGATCAAACATACAGTAAAATTGTGAAATTATATTACTATTTAAAATGACTTTTTTCTATGTGAATATATAGTAAAATGTAATTTATTTCTGTGATGCGCAGCTGTATTTTCAGCATCATTACTCCAGTCTTCAGTGTCACATGATCTTCAGAAATCACTCTAATATGCTGATTTGCTGCTCGAGAAACAGTTGTGCTGCTTCATATTTTAGTGATACTTTTTTGTTTTCAGGAATCTTTGATGAACAGAAAGTTCAAAAGAACAGCATTTATTTGAAATAGAAATCTTTTGTAACATTATAAATGTCTTTACTGTCACTTTTGAACAATTTAATGTGTCCCTGATGAAAAAAAGTATTAATTTCTTTCAAAGTATTACTGACTCACAAAAATATTCGTCAGCACGACTGTTTTCAGCATTGATAATAATCAGAAATGTTTCGCGAGCAGCAAATCAGCATATTAGAATGATTTCTGAAGATCATGTGACACTGAAGACTGCAGTAATGATGCTGAAAATACAGCTAACCAGCAATCAGCCAGGATCTCTCACAAAATCATCACAAAATAATAATGTAATACATTTTAATATATTAATAACAGTTTTGCTGGTGCAGCTTTACATTGTTCTTGTATTTTTATAATGTCATCATTTTATAGAAAATTGTTTTATATAATAATCTGTATTTACTTTCTAGCTGTCCTTAGTTTGCTCAGGTTATTCACTTTTTTCATATTCTTCAGATTGTGCTCTATATCAGATATATTCTATTCTATCTTAGGTCACATACAGCAGACTATCTGATTGCCAAGATATAGACTGTTAAATCTCTGTCAGTCATGCATTAGGGGTTTATGGCTACTGATAAAGATTTGCCGAGAAGGTGCATTTATCAAATATCCAAATATAACCTAGATGCTATAAAGTACACTAATAAACCTTTGGTCTCTGCAGAAGTTCACAAAGGGTTCAGAGAAATAGTTCAGCCAATGATGATGAGATTTTCTGACCCTCATGTCAATCTAGACCATTATTAAACTAAATCAATTTCAGGGGTAAAACAAGATTATTTTTCTGACCTTATTGGCAGATATTTTTTCTTGTTTTAAGCACAAACACTTAATTTTTATATGTTTTTCAGAAAACATAATTTTTCTTAATATCATAAGTCATTTTCCTTCTAAAGTAAATGTGTCATGATTTAGGAATTTTTCAATATTTGTTTCAATTCAAGTCTCTCCCAAAACTTGAATACTATTTATTTGCTTTATTGCACTCACTGATAATTCAGATACAAAACCATTCAAAATATCAAGGTCAGTAAGATCTTTTAATATTTTCTGAAAAAAGTCTCTTCTGCACACTAAGGCTGCATTTATTTGATCAAACATACAGTAAAATTGTGAAATTATATTACTATTTAAAATGACTTTTTTCTATGTGAATATATAGTAAACTGTAATTTATTTCTGTGATGCGCAGCTGAATTTTCAGCATCATTACTCCAGTCTTCAGTGTCACATGATCTTCAGAAATCACTCTAATATGCTGATTTGCTGCTGGAGAAACAGTTGTGCTGCTTCATATTTTAGTGATACTTTTTTGTTTTCAGGAATCTTTGATGAACAGAAAGTTCAAAAGAACAGTGTTTATTTGAAACAGAAATAATTTATAACATTATAAACGTCACTTTTGATCAATTCAATGTGTCCTATTGAAAATGAAACCTTTGAACAGTAGTGTCATTTTTAGTGTTATTTTGACATTTCAAGGCTCCAGGCTGAAGAAACTGGTCTAATGGCTGTGTCTGCGTCCATGTTTTATCCTCGAGAGGCCGTGACCCTCACAAAGGTAGGAGAGTCTGTGTGTCTTGTATGTTTATTGGCTCAAGGGTTGTGAGGTGTTATCGGGCCTGGACACGAGAGGAGGAAAAGGCGAGGCGAGGTTACGGTCTGTAACTTTCCAGCAGTTAAAAACAGCAGATGAAACACATTCCTAACAACTCCCAAGCACACCGAGCGAAGCTGCATCAACACTGTGTCTAACATCAGCCGTTTGTCTGTTTGGATTGTAACCGATACAGACTTTGCAGTGGAAAGCAGTCTGAATCTCTCTATCTCTCGCCTCACACGCGTCCTGCTGAAACGCTGTCAACACACAAGTGAGCGGTTTCAGATTAAAATCTCTCTGAAGGGCCGTTTCAGCGCTGCATGTCCCCCTGCTGTCAGATATGCTGATGGAAATGTCGTGAAAGGCCAGCGGGAGCACTGATTAAACAATAAAACGGCCCAAAATTAGATTGTTTTCACATTTGGTTTGAACCAAGTTCAAATTCAAGGTGTCACGGTTGGGTTGGGTGGCATAGGACAGTTTGCAGGTAAACGCAGGTAACTACACCATCTGGCCCCAAAATTAAACTCATTCATTTTGAGTGACAATGTCAATTGACAATGCTATATGGGCGTTATTATATTATAGGCAGAGACAAATCAACAGTGAAATCACTCGCTACTTTCTGCATTTTGTCTACACTCAAGTACAGTATCTCATACACTGCAAAAAGTGATTTTCTTTCTCAATATCTTTGTCATTTTCCAGTAGAAATATCTAGGCATTGTTAAATCAGGACTTGTGAAGTAAAATAGCATACAATATCCATCCATCCATCCCTCCATTCTTCTTTCTAATAAAAAGTATTTTTTTCATATTCTTTTTGAGTCTTTTTTTTAATGTTTATGCTTAAAACTGGAAGAAGAAAAAATCTGTCAATTGGATCATAAAAATAAATATACAGTAGTTCAAAGAGAACATTTTTTTTCATTATTTTTCATGTTTAAGCATAATCTCATAAATCTCTTTTTTCAGCCATATATATATAT